GTTCAATTATGTCAGAAAATGGAGATTTGGTCTTATGCTGAGCATGTGCTACTGCTGGTGAATGGGATCAGGTTAAGCTTTGTGTTGCTGTTCTTTTGCATAACCTAAAGTAAATAAGGAAAACCAGCTGTTAAATAGTTTAATTCCACTGTTTATCCTCCACACAACTAAAAGGGACCTCTCAATGCAGTGCCAAATCAGACAAACCATTTCTAACTTAATATAGGCTTGAGCTGTAGCTGGGCAAAGTTGCGCAACAATCTCATCTGCCATTGAGACATTTCTATAAGCATGGGGAGGAGGTGGATGAAAGGAAATGTAAAATATAGGTCTTATCACTGGCTGATAATGGTTTATATTAATGCCACTCTTGATTGCTGTTCACTTTACATGGTTCAAATGTTATTCTGTTATAGTTTATTAAATATTTTATTCCACTACTTGGTTCAGAATATATTTTCCCTGTGTTCCTCCTCTAAAAATTAGTTGCGTCTTAAGGTCAGGTGTGTCTTATGGAGGAAAAAAATATGGTACATTTTTGTGGGGAGCCTGAAGGTGAAGACCTGGAGAACAGGTCCTTATTGTTGGCAAGTGCAGTGCCCTTGCATTCAAATGCAGGGGAAAAGCCCCAAAGATCAGAAATATCTGTTCTAGTGAGTGCAATGTATCAGATGAAGAATAAGCTGGACCATACAGATGCCTATTCCGTTAAAATGGATGTTTGAAAGCATTTGTGTTTGGCTTGTTCTTTGTTTGCTTGTTGCAGCTGTGTGCTGTGTATGATTCCATCCCCACCTATTTCTTCTCTATCCACCAGGCTACCCAGTATATGGAAATGATTTCGAAAGAAATGCAACCTGTGGCTGGAACAGAAGGAGCTTATTATCGTCGCAGGAGGTTGATGAGACAACTTCCCATCTATGACCAGGACCCATCTAGTTGCCGAGGTCTTTTGGAGAGTGAAGTCAACTTGATGGAAGACTTTGTAAAGAAATATAAAAATGAAGTACTTGGTGTTGGGGAAGTTGCACTGCCTGGTCAAGGGGGAACCACCAAAGACGATGGCAAGCAACCTGACAAAAATGTTCCTGTAAGAGAGGAAGCCGTTTCAACAAATGGAACACTGGGGGAAGCATCCAAAGGGCAGGAACTGGTAAGGATGCAAACATTTCGGGTGGAGTTTTGGAAAACAATACAATTTTTATAAAAAAACAGTTATGTGGAATATTTATATCTTATTTATATATCACAAAAACCCATGGCAAACTGCAACAACAAAAAGCAATTTTAAACATTTTAAAAAATGGTTAGTGATTTAAAATCATTTAAAAGTGGACACTTAACACTGGGCTCCACAACGTATTCAAGCCAAGAAGGTTGAACCCTAGAAGCTTTGGTCAACATCCATATTTTAGCTTGTCACTGAAATAATATCAGCGTTGATGCCGGTTGGGTCATCAGTGTTGAGCATTCCGCAGTTGGGTGCCACAGCACAGAAAAACACTGCCCACATCTCCCTGTCAAATATTGCTTCCACTGATGTTGCATGCAACAGGTACCCTCGGGCAGATCTCAGTGCTGTATATTCAGGGAGAGATGGCCCTTCAAGTACCCAAGTCTAACGCTGTCAAGAACTGTCATACCTGTATCATCACCGGCATCTTGAATTCAGGCTGTAAGCCTATTGGTGGCCAGTACAATCTCTCTAGAAGGTTCTTTCAGCCGTCCAGTTGCTACCTGTTGAACTTATTGAAGCCTTCAGAGTAGTTCTAGTAGTCAAGTCAGAAAGTTAATGTTGGTACTATCTGATGGTTGTTGTGGGCACTGGCTAACAATAGACTTACAGCCTGAATTCGAGGTGCAGGTGATGATATAGGTATTGACAATTCTTTGGCCATGTTCTGAAGATGCCGGCCACAGAGACTGGTGAAACATCAGGAAGAACAACCTTCAGAACATGGCCAAAGAACCTGAAAAACAACAACCATTGGTACTATCTATTTAATCATTAAAATACTCCCTGCATTATACGAGTAGGACACATAGCTGTAGGCAAATGCATGGGGGGAAACAGAACATACTTTTATGTATTGTTCCTGTGTTGGCCATATCAGTTTCAGGTATAAATCCAACTACTTAATTTCAAGATCTGTTGAATCAAAGACATTTACGAATGTGTTTACTTACCAATCAACAAATGATTCAGAAGATCTTCTCTAGTTGAGACTTGTTCCTGCATTTAAACTCTAATAGCATGAATGAAATTTTGGCTATAATATTTTCAGTGCAAACTCCCAAGTAATCCAGGGAATTGTAGTCCTTTGATCCATGAGAAACACTGGATCCAGAGCTTAAATAATGGCAATTCTATAATTCTTACATTTCTTACAGCTTCTGAGGGGGAGGCATGTTTAGAGCCTAGATAGAGCAAATGTGATCATGTGAGCGGAGTAAAAAGATGGGGTTTAGGAGAAGTGAGAGCAGAGGTGATAAGTGAATAGAACTTGCAAATGTTTTTGGACTACAACTCCCCCAAATTTCCCAGCCAGCATGGTGGCTAAAGGATTTTGGGAGCTGTAGTTTGATTCCTGTGCTGGCTGGGGCATTCTAGACACTGTAGCTCAAAAAAGGTTGGGAATTTTCTCTTTTCCTAAGCTCTAGGAGTGATGAAACTCTGGGAGTAGATGTTGGACAGCATGTGAGTTCAGCGCTTAGCCCTTTTCATCTTAAATAGGATTTTCTTTTCCCCCTGTTGGCCTAAAAGTCTGCGGTGGAGAAGGAATTTTGCCCTTCACTTCGGCAGTGGCTAGTCTGGGGAGCGATTGGTGTGTTTTTCCTCCTCCTCTCTTCTGCTTACTAACTGAAAGCAACGGTTTCCACTGGCTGCATTCATGAATACCACCTTGACTTGGGAAAGTTTATTTGGATTGCAAGTTCATTGCTCCAAACGCATATTGGTGGTGTTTATTTTCTGGAAGAATGTAAAGCTTTTTTTTTTAACCAATGGAAAACGTTCTTTTTAAATAATAACAATAATAATTACATAAGCTCTATTTGTGCAGATGATCCAGACGTTCATACATTCTGAGACGGCTCTGTATAATTCCACAGAAGGCTTTTGCATCTGGGGAAAAAAAAACAAAGTTACATTTCTGTAGATGAGTAAAATGGTGCCCCTACAAATGGTCTTTATATATTGTTAGTGTTAGATATACTTGTTGGATGCAACTGAGTCATTTCCACCTTATAGAACCTCTAGTAAGGTCATCTATGTACATTAGGGAGTGGTTTCCCATTGCTTCACACATGTTCCCTTGAGTTTCCATGGCCGAGTGGTGAAGGGGTCCCAGTCCAATGCTCTGTCCACTACACCATCCTGATTTTCAGCAGCTGTATTAGTCTAGGTTTAATGCTGTAAATTTGTATTTCTAGTTCCTTAAGAGAACAACAAATATAACAGGAAAATATTGAAAATAGTGAAGTCAATTTACTCCCATTGGGTAGTTCATGTCCTAATTCCTCCTTTCTCTCACTCCCTTTTCTAGTTATTTTGGATATGTCTTGATTCCTAGGAGGAAGTTTCCAGTCATGCTCCTGAAAGCTCTAGTTATTTAGAGATGTGTAGAACTGCAGTCACCTTACTTTTCATGGCTTCTGAAGATCCCAAAGTTTTGTGAGGTTTACCCAGAATTTAAAGGGCCAGGCTATCCAGGGTTCAGTTGGCGTTCAATCCAATTAAATATCCTTATATTTAAGGACCCTTTTTAAAAAAAATCCATAGCTGCCCTTCCAGGTTTCAGTCTTTTGATTTTTGTGGCTGCCCTTTTCCTGTTTAAATGATCATCAGTAGTCATTAAGAGTCACTAACAGTTTGACAGGAAGTCTTGATCTCTGTCATCTTAAAGGTGACTTTAAGATGTCATTCAGGCTGTAACTGTGACTGTTCCGTGCATTTGAAGAAGTGGACTACAATCCACAAAGGTTTGTGCGAAAATAAAATGTATTTTATCTTTAAGGTACCCCAAAACTCTTTGTTATTTTGTGCTGCAGCAAACTAACTAACTTGACAACCCTCTAGAAAATATCCCATGGCATTGTTAGCTGACTGAGTGGTCCGATAAATAGAGGACATAATAAATAAAACAAATAAATAAAATAGAAGACACCAAATTAAACACATAACCTCAAGATTATACTCAGGAAGTTTCCCGTGCAATGGAAGAATATTGACTTCTGTTCTGTCTGCTTTATCTGGGCTTTCTTAAAAGGAAAATTGGGTCTATAAAGAGGAAGGTGAATAGGGGTTTTAAAAAAAAACCCTTCATGCTTTCCATGCAGTGCTATGTTACTAAGCAAAGTTAGTGTCTGTTTCAGTGTACTGTATTTCATTAAGCTGACAGCAGCCCAGTAAACACAAAACATAAAGTGCTGATTCTTGTTCAGCCAAAAGGACTTCTTTTTCTATAGCCTAACAAAGTGAACATTGATAATAGTTCCAGGTTTTGAAAAAGGGGCATTGGAATAAAAATGACCTAAAGCTGTAATCCCGTGGCACATCTAATCAAAAGTCAGCCCCATTGATGTCAGTGGACCCACCGTCAAGCAAGTGGGTGTAAAGATCACAGCCTTCCACCTTCTGGCTTTCTTCTGTAGCAGAATAAAGGCTATATTTAGGGTGTGTTTCAGTGTAACACCAGTTGCTGGATGGCAATGGATAGCAATAGCTTTTGCCTTCAGGTCTTACTCCTGGGCTTCCCAGAGGTACCTTGCTGTCCATCTTCAGAAGCAGGATTTATGGACTAGATAGATTTCTGATCTGATCTCATAGATCTACTCTCACTTCTATTGCTATAGATTGCTCATTATCCAGCACCTATTCGCACATTCACTATGTAGTGACCCTTGAAATTCTGCTGGAAATATATCAATGTTGAGACTTGATGAATACTCCATGGAGGCTATTCTGAACCCTCCTACAACGGCAGTTAATTCTTGGATATTACCTGACTTTTAGGCAAAGCAGACACATCTCTCCACATCCAGGCAAATATTTCTCTTTCTTGATCTGCTGTGCTTTAGGATTGCGGTTGAGGCAAAAACCTCAAGCTGCATAGCGTGTGAGTGCAAAGGAAAAGACTAGCAAAAGAAGATTTGCTAAAAAGGGTGGTCTTCAGACTGTTTAAAGAACTCCATGTGCTAAGTAACCTTGCTTTTCTGAGCCCTCCTTTTCATTTGTCTTGGAAAGACTTGGCTTGGGCTCCAAGAAAAATATTCCACAAAAACATTCCACTTTTTCCTCAGTTTAGCTCCAGAAGAAAAGGGTGGTGTGTCTGTGCTTGCGGTACAGAGTGAAGTCTATGGGAAATCTGTTTATTTTTATTTCCACTGAAATAAAAAAAAATAGGTAAATATTATTGAAGGAAAGATTTATTGGCATGTGATATGCTGAAAGTATGCTTCCACAGTGGCTAAAGATGGTTCCAGGCACAGTGTTTTCTGTAGAGTTTGGATAGCTGGCAGTTTCTTTTGACTGAGCCTTATCGTCTTTCTACCTGGCTTCACAATATCCATGGCCATAAAATCAGAGTAATTGGGTTGGAAGGGGCTTATGATGCCGTCAAGTCCAACCTCCTGCTCAGTTCAGGAATCCAAATCAAAGCAGATTTGATAGATGATTGTCTACCTTTCTCTTCAATATGTCCAGCATTGGAGTGCTTACCATGTCCCTAGGTAATTGCTTCCATTGTTGTACTGCTCTAACAGTTAAGAATTTTTCCTGATATTCAACCAAAATCTGGGTTCCTGTAACTTAACCCCATTATGATGTGTCCTGTACTTTGAGATGATTGATAATAGATCCTGGCCCTCCTCTGTATGACTACCTTTCATGTATTTGAAAAGTGCTGTCATATCTCCCCTCAGTCTTCTTTTCTCAAGGTCAAACATGCCCAGTTATTTCTGTCTTTCACCTCAGGGCTTGGTTTGCAGTCCCCTGATCATCTTTGTTGCTGACCTCTGAGCTTGTTCCAGTTTGTTGGCATCCTTCTTAAAGCATAGTGTCCCAGAATTGGACACAATAGTCAGGATGAGGACTAACACCAGTGCTGAATAGAGGGGAACTAGTAGCTCATGGGATTTGGAGACTAGACCTCCAATAATGCAGCCTAAAATATTCTAGCTGATATGTGACATGGCATTTGAATGGTCCCTTTATATCTCTAGGATTCCTTCTTCCCAAGCATTCCATTGTGGAATGGATTGGGTCATAGAATAAGTAGTGGTATAAAACAAAAATGGACCTAAAATATACACAAAAATATCCCCATGACACAACATACTTACTGCCATAAGCCCTACTGAAATGAGGTGAAACCGTTCATATGGGCATCATGCAAGTTGTCTAGTCTACAACAAACTTCTCTTTATACTGCTTTAAGTACAAATGTCTACCCTGAAAGTAACTTGACAAGAAAAAGAATCTGCCATTTTCAAAGAAGATTATAGAAACTATGTATCTTCTTGCAGGTTGAATCCTTTTCTGTTGCCATTTATTCTATTGTTGTAGCAGCATCTGACTTCACAAGATGTTCTGGCTGTTTGTTCAAACTTCAGTATTGCTCCCAAGGAGGTAGTTTTAAAAAGAGCCATCCATTTACGTCCCCCTATGGCTAAATCCAATATAAATTGGCGGTGATTTCACAAGAAATGCTTTTAGCTAGAAAGCCTTCTGTGTGAGGGCTGTTAATGTATCTTAAAAATGCATCTCTGTGATGCATTAACAAGAAAACGATGGGAGGAATGTGTGATTGTAGTCCATATTCTGGTATGTGTGTGTATGTGTTGGGTCTCTGACTTACGACAATGTGGTAGTCCTAACTATCATTTGTAAATCACCTTAAAGCAGACCATTGTTTTGTCCTCCACCCTGGGAGTTGCTTGACATGGTCTGTTGCTGTGATTGTTCTGTTGTTGCTTGAGATTGGGAACATGATGCCTTCTCACTGTAGTTCTTCTGCAGCTCACACTCTTTCTGACCCTTATCCGTGAGGATTATGGGACTCAGATCCCAACATTTGGAGCGCAACAGGTTTCAGATTCATATCCAGGTCACTGCTTATGTCATTCTTGTGCCAGTGTAGGATAAGAATGTAAGGGATGCTGGCAGGATTTTCCAATAAATTATTATTAACAGTGTTGTGATAACATCAAGACACACCGTTGAAGAAAAGTGCCAACCACAGCAGAGTTTTCTATTTATGTGCTAGCATGAAAATATCAGGACCATCTCTCTCTCTCTTTTGGTCAGCAGTGGCTTAAAGAAACAAACAAAACCACCCCTGTATTTTTTTCAGAAAATATAAGGTGGTTTTTTTTACAAAAAAACAGTTATGTGATTTGTTTTCTCAAAAAAAAAAAGCCCTGTTTTATGCAAAGAGTGCACAAAAACTCTCATGAACCTTTCACACTTTTTGTTCTGAAACATGCAAATGACATACAATAAAGATTTGCATTCTTAATATGGGATTTCCATGCTGCCGGCAGAGCACGGGATGCTCCAATGAAGTGGTACTGATTTACATTTTTATGTTATTGTGTGTGTATACGAGAGATAGGACCTTCTTTGCAGTGACTCCAACTTTATAGAACCAGCTTCTGGAGGAGCTTCGCCTAATCCCCTCCCTGTGGGCTTTTAGGAAGCAATTAAAGAGGGAGTCTTTCCACACCAACCCCTGCTGAACGTCTTCCCCCTTTTTCTTCTTTCCCCTCCTCTTCTTCCCTCACCCCTTTTCCTCCATCTGCTCTGGGATTAGTCAGTGCCGTCTGTTTTGGGGGTTTTGTAAGGGTTATTGCTATTAGTTTTCAAATTTCTGTTTTTATTTTTGTTTTCTGTTTTACGAATTGTAACCTGCCCAGAGTAGTGCTGTGACACTAACAGGAGTTGGATACAAATTGAATGAATGAATGAATGAATGAATGCATATTTGCATACTGACACTGTCTTAAGAGTTTCTTTTTGGAGATGTAATATGTTAGAATCTGGCCTGAATGAGAATTGAGCAAATGTTTGACTACGAACTGGATAGGGATGTCATCTTGGTGACTGACTGTGGGCTTGCTCTCTCCTCTCTAGTTTTGTAACCTCTGCAAGCACCCACTGCCTATGGAGTGTCCTGTGGTATACGCAGACCGAGCCAGCTATGATCACCAGTGGCATCCCGCGTGCTTCGTATGCTGCAAGTGCTCTGAACCACTCGTTGACCTAATCTACTTCTGGAAGAATGGCTCCATCTGGTGTGGACGTCATTACTGTGAGAGCATAAGGCCACGCTGTGCGGCCTGTGATGAGGTATGATGGCTGCAGTTTTGGATCTCTTTTCTGCAGTTTTTCTGCAATTATGGGATGTTCTAAGCAGTTGTGATGAGTGTCACCTGTTTGTCAAAGAAATGTTGGTATACGAGGCTCGTATCTGGCCTTCCTGGCATAGTTTATGTGTGATCTGATTGAGATAGACTTTAAAAGGTGCCCATTTTTCTCCCTTATGTTTATTGCAGCTACTGGGACAGTCCTTTTTTTAATGGAAATTATTTACCATCAGAGAACCTTGATTCCATCTTATGCCTTTTGATTGACTGTTCCCCAGATCTGAGGTGAAGCTGGGTTTCTTTATGCTGTGCAGCCCATTTTCACCAATATCTAGCTTTCTAAAGGCTGAAGCCCATCTTAATTTGGGTGACTATTTAAAAAACCCAACCCTGCCAGACTTAAGGAGTTGCAATAGGCTAGGGCCATGAGTAAAATGATTACTTTCCTATATTCTGTGACTGTGGATATGAAGAACACACTCACTGCCAGTAAGAAGTACGTATCAGAACAGGTTAATGAAAGTAGTTTTCATGGGGCCCAAATGCTCAAGGAGATTTCTGTTTAAGTCTGGCTACATATGGATAGGGAGGATTCAGCATATTAAAATTTATGTCAAGGCTTCCTTCCTTCCTTCCTTCCTTCCTTCCTTCCTTCCTTCCTTCCATGTTTTCTCCAGGGAGCTCATAGCAGTGTACAGTTGTACTGTCCTTCTCCCTTCTTTATTCTCACAACAAGCCCTGAGATAAAAGCCAGGCTGACAAATAGTGAGTTGTCTATCCGTACTCAGTGAGGTTCACAATTGAGCTTGAATTAGAATGTCAGTTATCCATGTCATAGTTCAGCCCTGTGACCACTGCGCTACACTGATTCTCGGTGGTTTAAATTTTCACTGTATGCAAATTTCAGTTACTTGCATCAGAAGCATTTACATACATTTTGCCTTTGGTTTGAAATGTATTTTAATACAGTGACATTCTGTACCCAAATTGTCCTCCCAGACTCCCATAGCAAAATGTTTCCGTGTTCTCTGAAGAACAGCTTGGCCATGCAGCCCTTAATAGTCCTGATGAGTTCATTACTTGGCTTTATAGGTGGCTCGGCTTGTCAGTTGCTTTGTTTTGTGTTGTCATAATGAAATTGGCCAGCTTTGTGAAGAAAATGGCATGATAAATGGTCTTGTTTACTTCCACAGATAATATTTTCTGAGGACTACCAGCAAGTTGAAGGTCTCACCTGGCACAAGCAACACTTTACCTGCCTGGAGTGTGAGGCCTTACTGACGGGCAAGCCATTCATCCTGGATGCGGCCAACCTGTTGTGTACAACTTGCAGTAAAAACAAGCATCTTTAAACAGCGTGTCACTTCACAATCTGAAAGCTTTTGTTTTCTGATGCAGACTAGATTTGAATCAATATGACAAATATGAGGGCGCAGGGAGAGGTCTAAACAAAGAAAACTGTTTCATGTTGGGTTCAGACCGCCGTGGCTGTTTATGGTGAAATAATTATAAGACTTGAGATGACAAAAGAATTACATGGTAGGAAATGCAGTGGAGTGAAATGTAGAGAATGCAATGTTCTAGCTTTCTCTAGAGAGACATTAACTGTAACCAAATAGAATTGAAACCAGGCCTTGTGACCTTTAGTTATTCAGCAACAGCATATTACAAAGGAGCTAATCCAGGATGTCTAGATGTGTCCAGAAGTCTTCATTTTGCTGCCAGGTTTTCTTGTTACAGAGGGGCTAGAAGTGCAAGCTCCACCATGGCCCACGCTAACACCAGCCAAATCTGTGGCTTTAGGAGATTGTTCGGGGAGAACGAACATTGTAATGAGACTCTTTTCAAGTGAAGGTTATATTTTATTAACTCGTGGTTGCAGCATGCCAGAATGAAAGACCGTAGAGACAGAAATGGGTCTGTGCAGAATAAATGGAGCAAGCCTATGATGGAACTCATGCACACGTGCGCACACACACCAGCTCTAGCTATAGTCTGAGAAAAGGATTATGAGATGGATAAATAGGTCGAATTTATTTATGTTGGGTTAAGAAATTTTTCATCCCTGGCACCAAAATGATCGTAATGCTCCGTTTTCAAACTTTAAAAATCTCCCCTGTACAGTAATCCATATGGAAGGAATCATGGGTAGATAACATCTCTGTGCACTTCAACAGCTGATGTTCTGGAAAATACACTAGTTCCTTTCATACCCCTACCACAAATGGCAGGAAGAAACAGTGAGAGCTGAAGTGCCAGGATAAAAGCATTTCCACCAATATTACCTCCTTACACTTCCCAGGGTATCTGTGGCAATAGGACTAGTCCATTTGAATGAATTTTAAAATATGGGAATTGCAGCAACTGTGTTGTCCAGGGGTGGACAGCCTTTTGACCTTCAGACATTGCTGAACACTAGCTCTCATCAGTGCCAGCCTGAGTGATTGACAGTGAAGCAGAGATGGGAGCTGTAGAGCAACAACATCTGGGAAGAAGGACAGACTGCCTACCCCAGTGTAACCCATTAGTATTTCAGTATCAGCTAACACATCCAGTTTGAGATGGAGACATCCAAGTCTTCCTAGTTCCTTTTATTTGTAATATTCTGCCTAATATTTGTGACAGACTCTTATCAACCTAAACTGGAGGAGGCCTGCTCATGGGAGAAAATTAAATAGAGTAGCTTCATAAACACTGTCATATTTAATTCTTTAATTGATGACATGCCCAACAAGATAACAGTAGCCCAAATCCTGTTGCTTAATGTAGTAAATTGCACTAGAACAGGGCCACAGAATCAATTCCTCTCTAAGTTTCATATACTGAAGTGGCCCTATTCTGTGACTTACTCTGCTAAAGTAAGCCAGAGTTAGAGAAGATCTGTTTGAATCAATGGAACTTACAGAGCAGGTGACTCACCAAGCCTTATTGATTCAGTGGGTTTACTTTAGTGCAATTTACTCCACTAAGCAACAGGATTTTGGCCATTGGCACTCATGATAAGCCTGCTTGGAATCCTGAAAGTCAACTTAGGCCCTGTTCTTTCCATCTGGATTAGCAGTAAAGCTTGCTTTAGTTTTGTGTGTTACAAAGGTGCTATTTTAATTAACACCAATGTAGGCCCATGTATAATAAGCAAACAGTAAAAGTTACTTTGATTTAGTTTTTTAAAACAATATTTGGTTTGGTTAACTAGCAATAATGACTTAGTATCTTTAGTCACGTAGTAAGAGCAGAAATTACTTAAAGTGGAAAACTGGAAAAAAAATAAACAGTGCTTCAGTTTTTAAAACCTAATACTTATTAGGTGCTTGTATTTTGTTTCCAGGCTTTTGATCAGTATGATTGCTCAGATGATTTACGGAAGCTTGTGCCAGGTAGGAACATTGTGTACAGTTGAATTCTGCACCTAGCACAAGCATATCCAGTAAATTCAACATAGGGGACACGATTTTGCAGAAAGAAGAAAAAAGGTGTATTTTGATATGGAAAAACTCTCATAAACAAGAGAAGGCCATAGGCGCTTCAGGCATTAAAGCTGAGCATATGGATTCACATGCATTCTGTTGATGCAGCTGTGCAAGTGCCTCACCATCACTGACTCTTATTTGACACACCTCACAATGGTAGAATATGAAACATGGGAGTTGTCAAAATTGTTGCGTAGTTATGCAAAAAGCATCATCTTGAGATGTGAATTGCTAGTTTTTAAAAAAACCCGTTATAGACATTATCCATTCGATGGTGAGTCATTCAATGCTGCATGCAACAGATATGCCAGTAATTTGCCACAAAAAAGTTGTGCCTTCTGTGTAACCACACAGCATGATTTTGGCCATTGTGTCAAAACCATCTGGCCAAAAACTCGTAAAGTGTGCACCTGTAAATTTTGTACAGGTGCACTTCATTTCAGTGGTGCTTGTATATGGGAAATTCTTCTCTGTTCCTGGAAACATAATATGGTTATTAATACATTTCCTCTCTACTCTTTCCAGTTTATTCGCAAGTAGCTGTTAAAGACTAGAGCAGAAATATGTAACCAGCTGACATGGAAATTGTGGTCCTAAAAAAAGGGTACTTAAAAATCACACTTCTTAGAAGGTGATCCCTGTTTAGTTGTATCTAAAATGATGTTTTGTTATAATACTGTCCTTTCATGTTGTTAATATGGTAATTACTGCATAATGAATATGGCAGTCTCCATATTTTTTAAAAAATGCTAAAAGTCTCTTATTAAACTAATACCAAACAGCTTTTATGCAGCCTTTCTTTAAAGCCTTTTTCCCAATTAAATATTCTGGATTTTCTTTGTTTTTTTTAAAGAGTAGTGGATCTAACTTAACTTGCTCATTCTGCAGAAAGAGCAAAGGATGCTCAAAATTTCCGTTTTCCCTTTTTCTCCACTCCATATATTATAAAATAGCTGGAGTAGCTTTCCTTCACATTGTACAGAAGGCAGCAACAAAAAGCATCCCAAAGGAAATGCAAGAAAGCAAAGTGACTGTCCAACGAGGCCTTACAAGTAGCAGAGAGGAGAAGGGAAGCAAAATGCAAGGGAGATAGGGAAAGTTACAGAAAATTGAATGCAGACTTCCAAAGAATAGCAAGGAGAGTCAAGAGAGCCTTTCTAAATGAATAATGCAAAGAAATAAAGGAAAATAATACAAAGGGAAAAACCAGAGATCTGTTCAAGAAAATTGGAGATATTAAAGGAACCTTTGTGCAAAGATGGACATGATAAAGGACAAAAATGGTAGGGACCTCACAGAAGCAGAAGACATCAAGAAGAGGTGGCAAGAATACACAAAGGATTATACCAGAAATATCTGGATGTCCTGGACAACCCAGATAGTGCAGCTGCTGACCTTGAGCCATACACCCTGGAGAGTGAAGTCAAGTGGGCCTTAGAAAGCATGGCCAATGGAGGTGATGGCGTTCCAGTCAAACTATTTAAAATCTTAAAAGATGATGCTCTTGAGGTACTACACTCAATATGCCAGCAAGTTTAGAAAACTCAGCAGTGGCCAGAGGATTGGAAAAGATCAGTCTACATTCCAATCCCAAAGAAGGGCAGTGACAAAGAATGCTCCAATTACCATACAATTGCATGCATTTCACACGCTAGCAAGGTAATGTTCAAAATCCTCCAAGGCAGGCTTCAGCAGTATGTGGACCAAGAACGCCCAGAAGTTTAAGCTGGATTTTGAAGGGGCAGAGGAACGCGAGACCAAATTGCAAACATGCACTGGATTATGGAGAAAGCCGGAGAGTTCCAGAAAAACGTCTACTTCTGCTTCATTGACTATGCAAAAGCCTCTGACTGTGTGGACCACAGCAAACTATGGCAAGTCCTTAAAGAAATGGGACTGCCTGACCAACTTATCTATCTCCTGAGAAATCTATAAGTGGGTCAGTAAGCAACAGTTAGAACAACTAATATGGAACAACTAATTGATTCAAAATTGGGAAAGGAGTACGGCAAGGCTGTATATTGTCTCCCTGCTTATTTAACTTATATGCAGAATACATCAGGCAAAAGGCTGGACTGGAGGAATCCCAA